CTAGTATGGTGGCTCTGCAGCTGAGCTAGCAAATGACTCCGCTTGGAGCAGGCGAATGACTCCGCATTGAGCCGGCAAATGGCTCCGCATCGAGCCAGCAAATGACTCCGCATCGAGCTGGCGAATGACTCTGCATCGAGCCGGCGAATGACTCCGCATCGAGCCGCCGAATGACTCCGCTTTGAGCCGCCAATGACTCCGCATCGAGCCGCCAATGACTCCGCATCGAGCCGCCAATGGCTCTGAGTAGAGCCGCCGACTGCTAAATATATAGAGGTGCATAACCAGTTGAGAGCATAATTATATTCTCATGGTCTATCCAGATACCGTATTTCCCCGTAAGTTAGTACGTACTAACTTTCGAAATTAGCAGCCACATGAGTACTAACTTTCAGGGGTGGTACTATCTTTCGGGGAGTACTATTTTATCGGGGGTAAATGACATGCAGTGGGAAGCCTGCGCAACTCTAGTGTCTGTGCATAATGATGTATGTACTGTACGGTGTCTGTACATGTAGGACGGGTACGAACTTACTATCTTTCGGGGGGAACTGTCTTTCGGGGTGATAACCTCGGCAGTGGAATATGTATTTTTATAGGGGGTACTAAGTCATTGGGTAGAACTAACTTACGGGGAAATACGGTACTGCCATGTGTGTGCCAGAAACATGAATTGAGCAAGTGGGTGGGAGGGTGAGAAGGTAATTGTTTGGGAACACATGTTCCGCAAGTTGCACGCTCGAAAGTCCAAACAGCAATGACATGCAAGAGACATTGTACAGGATTTTGAAGGGCGCGTGCCCACGTGACTCGCGCATGCGTGCAGGTTGGGCCAGCTCGCTGGGCTGGCTGCTAACTCGCGTTAGCCTAAAGAGAAATAAAATAAAACAAGAAAGAGATGATGGACGAGGGTAGTTGCTCATTGACGGGTGACGTAGCCTCACAGTGAGTCCGTAGCCCAGAGCCAATTATTTTGACGCAAGTGGTGATGGACTTTCGTCTTGAAGGATTGGAGAGGCTTAAACCGGGGCATCAGATCCGAAAATATGTCTTGCGGAAGCCTGTTCCATTCATCCACTACACCATAATATTATGGGAACGAACGCTGGAGAAAGTTGGGGGTCGTAGGGAGGAGCACTGCTTGTATTTGATGCTGGTGGCGGACACGGAGCTGCGACCTTGTCCGCGGGACAAGGCTAGCTTCCTGGCAAGGCGGCACGAGCGCAGAGAGGTCTGGATGGTCTTGAAGGTACATTAGCTTGCTCATGTACGTGAGAGCGTACACTTGGCGGCGGGCAGCTAGGCTCTGCAGCAAGGCGCCAGGACCAATGATAGCAAGGGCCTTCCACTGTACTCGGTCGATACTTTGCAGGTAAGAGTTGGCTGTGCCCATCCATATCAATGGTGTGTATTCGAGTACAGGGCGTACAAAGCCTCTGTACATTGTCAAGTTTCCTTCACGACCAAGGAAACTTGATGCTCAACACAGAAATCCTAGCCGGGCTACAGCACGAAGAGAAACATTGCGGAGATGGCGTTTGAAGGTGAGTTTGCTGTCGAAGGTCACTCCCAGGAGCTTCAGCTCGTCCCCGCAGGGAATATCATGGGCTCCGTATGTTAGGTCTGGGAGTGGCCAGGGGTTGCGGTGGTGGCCAATATGCAGCAGCTGTGACTTTGTCGGCTCAAAGCGAACTCGCCATTGTTTTTCCTAGCTACTCAATCCATCCAGGCTAGATTGCAAGTCTGCAATCCTTCCAGCAGAGTCATCTCTGGATTGTATGATGGTGTGCAGCGTGGTGTCATCTGCGTACATACCCATTCACGTTGATGGGGAAAGACAGATCTCAGCATCGTTGACCTACATCAAGAATAAGGTGGGTCCCAGGATGCTGCCTTGGGGTACGCCTGCTTTAATGTGGAATTGAGCAGATTCTTGTCCATTGACGATTGCCCTTAGTGTGCGATTCATAGATAGTCCCGTAGCCACTGCAGCAGGCCGCCTCCAATACCGAGAGTGGCCGCTTTGTGTAGGATGCCGGGGTGCGACACGCGGTCAAATGCACCAGCAATGTCGACAGCCAGAACGTGGGCACAGCCACCAGAACCAGCTGCCAGCGACCAGTCATACCCAAGCACTGCTAGTAGGTCCGCAGTTCCAAGGCCACTGCGAAATCCATACTGCTTGGTTGACAAGAGATGATGTTTTTCAAGGTGATTCACAATTTGGCAGTTTACAATACGCTCCATCACTTTGGAGATGATGGGGAGGAGGGAGACTGGGCGGTAATTCTTAGGGTTGGATAGGCTGCCCTTCTTGTAGACTGGCACAACTCGAGCACTCTTCCAGGCCTCTGGCTGAACACCCTTACGGAAGCACAGGGCGAAGAGGGACGTGAGAGGCAATGCAAGTTCATGGCAGCACTCTTTGAGCACTCGGGCAGGGATGTTGTCCGGACCGGATGCCTTGCCAACGTCGAGCTGGTTCGTGAGGCGTTTCAAGCCTTGTGGGCTTCGCTGAAAATATTGTGTCTCCAGGCCTTCCATGCCTTGTCTTTAGTGTTCAATGCTGTGGTGCACTCAAGAGTCCACCATTTGGGGTCTGCTGGGCGGGTAACAAGCTGCTTGGCGGGGATACATTTCTGCATGCCGCTGGAGATGACGTCACTTATCTTCCTGCAGGACTCTTCAGGGTCGTCAGTCACAATGGTGGACCAGTCAGTAGTGCGATAGAAGGCCCGCAGGCGCCCCCAGTCTGCCTGATGGTAGCGCCAGACAGTCCTGGAGGTAGCTTGCTCAGCATCAGGGTGTGATAAAAGTCGGCAAGTACAACCCCATGGTCAGAGCGACCAAGTGGCGCTTTGACAGTGGTGTCGATAGGAACGGGCATGTTGGAGAGGATGAGGTCCAGGGTGTTTAGACCCCTAGTCGGCTGCAACATATGCTGGTGGAGTAATGCTCAGCACACAATTCTTCCAAGGCCTCTCCAGCTACAGTTGTTTTGCTGCTGCAGAGCCAAGTCTCGTGATGGACATAAAAATCCCCAACTAGCACTATGACTGCCGTGAGTGCGGGCCACGTCTAGTGCAGGTCCAAGATACTCAATCAGACAGGTGTCGTTGTCCGCACAGGATCCAGGCCGATACAAAGCACCAATAACAACAGATTGTTGCGTAGAAAGACTCACTGCGAGCCAGAGAACTTCGTGGTCATCAGTGGGAATCTGGTCGAGGAGCACTACTGGGAGGCCGGACTTCACCCATACAGCAATGTCGCCACCAAATGCATCCGGTCACGTCGGATGGGAGGCGAGTATCCTTGAAATATCGTCTCAGAGGCTACGGTCTGGGCCGAGAAATTTGTTTCTGTGATAACCGCTATGTCGAAGTTATCGTTGAGCAGTGCATGCTGCAGCTCTCCCAGCTTGTTGGTGAGGCCAAATGCGTTGGTCACCAGCCAGCGGAGCGGCGGAGCTGCACTGATCATTGCGGCCGCGCGGGATGCCAGCAGATGCCGTGCTGTCGCTGTCAGCGCTGTCAGCACCATCAGATGTAGGGTCACCTCTCGCAGTGCCGGCAGGGTGTTGTCGGTTGGGCTTCGGACGGTCTCGGTACTCCCATTGCCGGGCGTATAGAGGCCTTGGCCAGAAGTCCGGAGTTGTCACGAGGCTCAGGTCTGTGGCATCTATACAAATCCTAGCTGACACCTTTCCCGTCTGCGTTGTGTGGATGCTGCTGTTATGAACACTGGTCGTTGATCCCATTGCCTCAGAGCGCCGCTTCACGAAAGTTTTGATGCTCTCTTCAGAGCAGTTTGTACCTAGGTTGCCCACAAAGATTACTGCTTTCTTGGCCCTGGGGGGTTCCTGTGCAACTAATTGCCAGCTGTCGTCAGCAATGATGTCCAGAGTCTGGGGCTCGTTGTTGTCCTCCTCCAGCTCCAAGTTGCGCTGGCCAGCATGCTGCACGTCGCCCTCATCAGTCGTGGCCCGCGTGGCATCCTGGGACTGGTCCCGCGTGGCATCCTTCGCCTGGCCCCTGCGCGTACGGGTACGGGTACGCTGTCGACTCTGCGGAGTACGAGTTCTCTGGGGTTCGTAAGGCCGCGGTCACACATGAAAAGCTTGCACCGCTTTTGCGGAGGCGAAAAGCGTAA